TTTGCAGGAAATACAGCAGCACATCTCTCTGGCATAGTGTCAATATATTTCCTGAGAACTTCAACACTAATGTTATCCCATGCCTCCTGCAACTCAAGCCAAAGGCTTTACTTTGAATGTACAATATATCTGTCCAGTTTATTTTCCAACTCGCCCAAAATGTGCTCAATTTGGTTAAGGTCCCGTCATGTTCAATGTTCCAGCATATTCCTTCTGTCACAGGTAGTTCCGTCAATAGTTTTATGGGTATTGTAATGGTCAACAAAATCAACTGAAACCTCTTAAATATGCCAAGTGTTCTAACAGTTTTGGCCACCACTGTATATAATTCTTAATTGCTTTTGCTAAATTGCTAAAAAACACTTTTCACCAGTCATCACTATGCAGAGAAATAACAGTGAATGCTGCAATAAAATGCTTGAAAAATACACATTCAGTAGACCCAAAGCTTGCTGTTGATAAGTAGGTCTCTTCCGTTAATATTCCCCACAGTTACTGCAGAAAATAACATGGTGAAATAGTAAATACAGACATTTTACTTCAACTTACTTTCTCATTGGCTCTTATGCTCCTTACTAGTCCAGTCAGAGAAGTATAACAAAGATGATGTCTACTGCCTTGGACTCCAACCACTGTTCGGTGTTCACAGGTGTCTGTGGAGTAACGTCTGCCATTTCTTCAGCGATGACACTTCTCTTGGTTACTACAAAACATAGATATATTAAAATAAAATTGTGGCATGATAAGAGAAATACTCAGTTACTCCTTTGTGTCTCTACATCCTGAAAAAATAAGCAATTAAAGTAGCAACAAAAGTGATGGACTGTGATGCTGTATTTGTGTTGTAGTCACATGTGTTTGGGCAGAGATAAGCATCTGTACATGTACAGTCTGCTTATTTGGCAGCTGTAAAAGCAGGACAGAGCTATTGCAGAACAAACACACACACACACACACAACACGGCAAATACAAGAAACGCAGGTCGTAACAATAGGCATACACACTAAAACATATCGTCTTCACTCTCACGTCCTTTAAGAAATATGGAAAAAAAAAAAGTTTGCTTATTGCCATTGAATTTACAAAAATAAGAATTTGGAAGCTAAAAATACAAACAAACCTTTCTCTTTGTATATGCTGGATCGCCATCATCCTCCTCTTCCACGTCTGTTGGCGGATCGTAGTGTTGCTCGTCAAAGTTTTCTGCAGCGTAAACACTCAAGACTCACACAACAATACTTAGACCAAATATTAAAAAGATATATACTGTATATATATTTGTTTTAATTATGTTTCAGGCAAAACAAGAAAGCCGCATTCACTGCAGTCTCGCACGTGAGGTTAACTTTTGCAAGTTCTTTTATGAGCTTAGCGCTTGCGCTAGTAAAATACTAAAAATAAATGCTCAATGATGCTTACCAGAATACTGTATCTTGGTAAATAATCCATTGTTTTGTTTGCATCCAAACAGCACAAACATGGTGGACGTCACCCACCAGCAGAGGTACAAAACTCCTGCCACGCTGCTTGAGTGAAGGTGAATGGATCACCTAGAGCGCAATGAAGCGTGTTGAAATTCATCCAAGTACGCGTATAAAAGAATGACCTGCTGCGCATTACATAAATAGATTTGCTATTGTTATAAATATTAGAGAATGTTCTGTCCTATTAAGCACTTTTAAAAGGGTCATATGATGCGATTTCAATTTTTCCTTTCTCTTTGGAGTGTTACAAGCTCTTGGTGCATAAAGAAGATCTGTAAAGTTGCAAAGACTAAAGTTAAGAGTCAACCACGCATTCCTAAAACGGCTCGTTCTAACACGCTCCCACATGTCTATGTCACGATGTGGGAAGATTTGCATAACACCGCCAAAATGTTCACGCAGAGAAATAAGGCGTAACTTTGATTCTCGCTGTAGTATTGTTGTTGCCGTGTGTTTCATTGTGAAAGCGAAACTACTTTGTTTGGCCTTCCAAAAGAGGACGCTATCCACTTCGTCATGCCTAGAGCTGATCCGTGCTGGTTCGCTAAGGAAATACATCAAGTTTGCGCTCTGGATCACCGGATCGGCTTTCACTGTGGACAAAGCGAAGTCCAGCCTGGGGTCATCACATGCAGGTTGCCGCAAGCCCGCCAGCCTCCGCTCACTCTAGCCGCCGGCTCTTTTGGAAGGACACAACTAGAAATCAAGTTGTATTTACAACACTGTTCCAGAACAGTTCAACCCAAATATTAAGATGTGTGTAGCACATTTTATGGAGGACTGTTTCCTGATCCTGCGAGAGTAGACAACAATACCGGCTGTTCTGACTCACAGTCTGTAAGTACGTTTTCATTTAACAAACAAAACAATAATATACAGTATGTGGAAAATAATGTGTTTTTTGAACCTTAAACACATTTCATAACACCAAAAACATAAAATAATATTATTTTTAGCAACATCATATGAGCCCTTTAATATTGTTTTTTTTTTTTACTTTATTGCATATATTTAGTTTTTGACAAATTCACAACATTAAACGTGTAGTTAACTTTATAAACATTTGCAGAGGTCTTAAGTCAAATTTAAAACAGTTTTATGATAATTATTGCTATATTAATGTAACCATCTATGACTGAACCAAGCCGAGTCATTGCCAGAAGTGGCCCGGACTCTACAGCCAGATCCGGGCGGGTTACGGTGTACAGGAATCGGGCCAGTGCTTTACAGCCGCATCACAAGCACATGCGTGAGAGCGAATTGCAGGCCACACTTGGCCCGGATAACACTCGCCGATGCCGAGTCTGAGCTGCAGGTGCCGTGGGCCCGCTGAGCTCGGGCCGATTACTACATGCTTTCTGGGATACTAAAGAAAGTGAAATCTTCCTTTTGAGGTACATTTTTAAAGGGGTCATCGGATGCCCATTTTCCACAAGTTGATATGATTATTTAGGGTCTTAATGAAAAGTCTATAACATACTTTGGTTAAAATTTCTCAATGGTAGTGTAAAACAGCATCCTATTTACCCTGTCAAAAACAGCTCTTTTCACAGCAAGCTGTTTCAGTGCATTTCCCTTTAAATGCTAATAAGCTCTGCTATCCCCGCCCCTCACCCTCTGTGGGGTGACATACAGTTCTCTGAGAGACTGTAAACTTTAGCCGCATTCATCGTAAAACTTGCTATCTAGCACATTATTAGGAAAGGTGATTTGCAAAATTCATTAAAAAATAAAATAAAATCATATACTCACTTCTTCTGGAAATGAAGCTGAATGATTCGCCTGAACATAGACACATTTAGGCAGATCGGGGGATGCATTCCCTTCAAAAACCATCTTAATCCACTGTGTCTTCAGTGGCTCTGATGCTGGGAGTAAACGACGACTACTATGTTCATTATTACATCCAACAACAAAACACCTCACCAGGCCTGATTACTGCCAGACCTGTTGAATCAAGAAATCACCAGAGGCGGACAGTAACTAAGTAAATTTACTTGAGTATTGTATATTGTACTTAAGTACACTTTTTGAGTATCTGTACTTTACTTGAGTATTATTTTTTCTGGGAACTTATGACTCTAACTTCACTACATTTGAAAGACAGATATTGTACTTTTCCCTCCACTACATTTCTATGAAGGTCCTCGAAGTAGAAAGTCGTTAGCAGTTTTGAAAGTCAGTGGGTGTCTTTTTTTCAGACAGTTTATCAGTAATCACTCTTGGGGCTACATGAAGAGATTTCCCAGCATTTATTGAGCACTGACCAGTTCCAAATGTGATATTTATTTACAACAATTCAGTAATAAGAAGTTAATATTGTGGTTTATATTAGACATAATATTGTCTGATTTTTCTAAATTGTGTAGGTGAAAATATTACCTATAAAGCCACAGAAGAACTGTTGTGCATCTCCTAATAAAACACAATAGAACCTGTCTGACAAAGTGAAGCATGCTTAAAGAGCAAAACATCATGCCGCAATTGAAATAAATTCAAGAACAGATGAGATCCAATTTCGGTACCAAAGCAAAACACAAAAACATGTTAATTGAACAACATTGTTTTTTATAAATAACATTAATCAAAAATAAAATGTACAAAACCAATGCCATTCTTTATATTTATTTAAAATTGTTTCAAGTTTTTCCACAAGTAATAAAAGTATGAATAGAGTAAACAAGTTTCACCCAAAAGTTTAGTCATAGTTCTGCTGCCACTGAAAAATATCTGTAAACTGTTGTCTGTTTTAGGGTTTGCTGGTGTGTTTCAGGATCTTCCTCAGTCTGCAGCTGTAAAAGGAACATATAATATACTTAAGTAAAGCAATGGGCTGAGTCTGACCAAATGCAACATTAGATCATTGACACCAGCTAAAATATAACTATTCAGTAAACAACAAACCTTTGCTTTTATAATAAATTTAGATAATATTACCTATATTAAATGTATATCAAATAAATGGAAACTGTAGTATTAAAAACACTTTACAATAATATTTCATTTGTTAGATAACATGACCTAACAATAAACAATAGTTATATGGCAATTCTTCTTCTTAGGGTTAATTTCAAAATGTACTAATACATAAATCACAAGTTCAATCTGTTAAAATTATTTAATGCACAATGAACAAACATGAATGATCAAGTGCTTGTATTAACATTCACAAACATTTAATGAATGTTTTAAAAATATATTATTCACTCACTGTAAGATGTTACTAGATCTAACATTGTACAGTAAAGTCTATACAGGAGATAAAATTTGACTGTACTTTTATTTAATCCAAACTGTGTTCATATTTAATTTTAAAGGGCTTTTAAAACCTGCTAGA